AAGAAAAAGAAAAAGAAAACGAAAAAGTGAAAAGAGAAAAGGAGAAAAAGGATACTTTACGAGAAAACGAAAAAGTGCAAAGAGAAAACGAAAAAGTGCAAAGAAATAGAAAACGAATACATACATGGCTCTGTTTTAAGAAGCGAGAAGAGGAAAGAAAAGGAAGGAAAGGTGGGACCTACAAGGTGATCCCTCATTGCTCAGATACTTAGCTGCGGTCTAACAGATGCTTAATGTGATTTCGTTGACTTCTGGCAGCATATTTTGTACAGACAGAAAGAACAGTTCAGTGATGGTGTTGGTTACAGCTGGATCGACAGTCTGAAGAGGCATGCCGAAGAACAGGTATACGACATACCCCCGCCTCCCCCCCCCTCCCCCCCCCCCCCCCCCCCCCCCCCAGCCCATCCCCTCCCCCAGTTACCCCCAGTAGTTTTTCTTCTGTCACCACGGAAAAGTTTTAAAAAAGGAAACCGTCATTTATCTCAAATTAACGGGGGATTGTAGCAACGGCAACCCAAGTACAGCCAAGTCCACGTGGCCATGGCTTTCTCATTCATGCATATGGCAGATGAATCGGTGATTAGCATCACCAGGTTATGCTTTGCTTGTGGGGTTTTTTTTTTTTTTTTAACGAATTTTTCTTGTCATTTTTTTATTTTTTTTCAAGTCTTTTGAAGTCTCTCTTTTTTCTTTTTCCGTTTTTTTTTTTTTTTTGGCCCAATTCTTGGTTTTTGCGTTATGCTAACCGGAAAGCTGGGCCGGAAAGCGGGCCCGGCGTCGCTAACGAAAGCTGATGCTCTCTCCCTACAACCTTCGCTCCCCTAGCCGTCTTCCAGAAGCACCACCCAAGGATTGAAGAAGATTCATGTGGCCAAGCAGCTTGCCAGCTATGGACGCTGGTTCTCCCTCATACACGTAGTTTGTCACGTTTCCTTTCCCCACACCAAGCCTCCCTTCATTCCCTACTCGCTATCTAGCCAGAATTGCTCCATTGATTCGTTGGGCTGCTGACTCCCTACAATACCAAGGCAGTCGCCAGATGAGAGAGCGCTCAAATCGCTTAGCAATTGCATAAGCCAGTGACGGAATGAATTGGTCAGTGTCTGGCGACCCAATAACCCCCCTTAACGCCCCCATAACCCTTCTTAACACCCCCAGTGAAGGAGATGAACCGGATAAGGGACTGAGCTCTGACTGGCCATGGCAGTTTACTGCACCATGCACTGACTGAGGGCATTGCCACGCCACTCTCGAAATGTGCAACATGAGAATGAACTTTTCGCTAGAATATGGCCAGATGCGCCCAGCACATTTTGTCTTTTTCACATTTCGAGAGTGGTGTGGCGAGGCCCGGAAAGGATGGAAGCTAGAAATGTAGCGTAAGGCAAAGGCAGATCCACGGCTGCGGCTGTGTTCATCTAACCCCAACCCCAAAAAGTGTGCTGGGCCTCTAGTCGGGGCCTTACTGTCGACTTTCTCCGGCTCCTTTGGCTCAAATATCAAGAATTTTCAATTTTCAATTTTGGTTTTTTTGTGGTGCACAGATGAGCAAGGAGATTCTGATGTACCTTTGCTGTTGAAGATTTGTCCATTACTTCTCCACAAATGTGTCTGACAAGCGAAGCAATGCCGTTGTTTGCTGTTTGCAGGTCACTGACAGAATGATGGCAAATGCAAAACATGTTTTCCCTGAAAACACGCCGCCGACAAAAGAGGGATACCTGTATCGCATGATTTTTGAAAACCATTTCCCACAAGTAAGTCTTCTCTCTCTCTCTCTCTCTCTCTCTCTCTCTCTCTCTGTGTGCGCATGTGTGTGAGTGTGTTTTACCGTCCTTGAGCTTATTTTGCCAACTTGAGATCAATTTTGACGGCATTTGCCCCCTACAGGCTTGCCTACTTTGCAAGATGTCTCTCTCTCTCTCTCTCTCTCTCTCTCTCTCTCTCTCTCTCTCTCTCTCTCTCTCACACACACACACACACACACACACACTCACACGCGCGCGCACACACACACACACACACATGAATGCGCATGTGTCAAAAAGCGGGACAGAGAGCAAGCCAGCAAGTGAGCGATAGCACATATGCACGCCAATCCATAAGCGTAGGGGGCCACAGATAAGCGGAGCGCATGCATGGAGCAAGCCACAGAGAGAGAGAGAGAGAGAGAGATGGTGGCCGTGCTTGGCCCTCCAGTGGTTAGAGGAGCAAAACGAAAACATGTAGCCCCCGGTAGGGGTACAGGGGATTTTGCGAATTTTGGCAGGCACCCGGTAGGGGTATATCGCCAAAGACAAGGGGTCCGAATCGGCGTTGAGGGTATTTTACAAACTTTCAGACTGTCAGAGGGTTATTCCGCTTTACTCACATCTTTTAGGGGTATCTAAGCATATACGTAAACTTTGAGGGGTATATTCCAAATTGTCCCTTTCTTGATTTATGCGTGTTATCCTTGCACAGGGGCCATGCGAATCTTCTCTGTATCCATCCAATTGTTACTGATGTCCCAAAGGACATCTCTATACTCCTAAAGAGAATAGCGGGCCCACGTCACACTCCCCCGGCGGGCCCAAGAGAAACCATCAGGGGGTCACAGTTTCACTAGTTTCACTCAGGGCCCCCCTCAGTTTGGCTCGCGGTGCTTTTTTTCTTTTTTGTGGATCTGGTGCCTGTGCCCGAAGTTCCTGAATGTTCTAATACAAGTACATGGCAGTCCGTGGCGGGGTCGTTTCAGCGTTCGTTCATTCTTTCTTTTTTTTTTGTTTGTGGTTTTTCTCATAGCCGCTCGGTTTGTTTGCAGCACACGCATCCCGTTGGCAGTTCCTTTTTTTTTCACAAAGCCAGGGCAGGCTCACACCTGCACTTTTCAAAAGACATGCATCTGACCGCAATCACGGCCAGCTTAGGTTCTTTTTTTTTTCCTTTTTTTTTTAAGGAAAGTTTTGCAATATACGTTCTTTTGTATCCTCTATTCAACGGGCGTTTTTCTTTTCTCGGTTGGTTGGGCCACATTCATCTTCTTTTTTTTTTTTATGCCGTTTTCCGTTTCCTTTTTTGTTTTTTTTTTATGTCGTTTTTCGTTTCTGTTTTGCTGAACGCATCCCCCCACGATCCCGCCCGGATTCGTCTATTTAGGGCGTACTCAGAGCACCTCTTTCCTGAACGGCCCCGATTTGTTGTTTCACGGCAAACTCGCACTGGCACTTCCATGAACGACCCAATTCGTCGCTTTTGGTTACAACTTTGGTTTCCTGCTGATTGCCCCGAATCTTGGATTGTTCCTCAGTGTGAGAATTCGGAGGACCAAGATTCATAGGGGTTCCCAGCAAATAGCCCAGTGGTAAGAGACAACTTTACAGCTCCCCCCGA